TAATTTGCAACATACGCTTTCCCACCCCCCACCCTTCTTCATCCCCACTCGGCCTCCTCTGCTTCCCGCAGCCACAATCTCTTGTCCCGGAAACAATGGCTGCTTGGATTCCACCCATGTGAATGGGCCGGCTCTCTGAGTGCCATTTGTTGGCTGCTGATGTTGCTTTTTTCCGCTTCTTTTGATTTCTTCCTTAACTCTCACCACCTCCCCCTCCTTTTGCTCAAATACCTGGCTCCCTGCGCCAACCTTGCTTCTTCCTGAGGGGCTGCGGAGCTCTGTTCGAGTATGGAACTGCTTCCTGGTCTGGGCTGCTGCACTGGTGAGATCCCGGGGCATTTGTTCATTTGTTTGTTTTGAATTGTTTTTTTTCTTTTCCTTTTCTTGAGTTGGGAGCCCGTTCTGGCCAGCCGGTGCTGCATGGCTTGGAACCTACCCCCTGAGCTTGCACAGACATGCAGAGGGATCCCTGAGGACATTTCTTTTTTGTTTTTCTTTTCCAGTTTTTTGGGGGACTTTTCTTGTTCTTTTTTTCAAATTTGTTTTGTTTTCTTCTCCCTCTTTTTCCCTTTTTGTCTTTCTTAATTACTCAGTTTCTCGTCTCTCTATATCGTCCTTCTCTTTCTGTTTCCTGAATACCTGGTGTTGTATACCTCTAGGCCTTCTAGCCAGGTGGTACTGCAACACCTGAGAACAACTTCCCCAGACCTCATAGCCGCACCAGTGGGATCCCTGGGAACTTTGCTGTTCTTTTCCCGTTCCGATTTTTATTTATTCATTCTTTTCTTTTCTTCCTCTTCCCCTTTTTGTTTTTCTCCATTTCATAGTCTCTCATCTCTCCACTCCAACAGCAAGCTCCCCCAGCATTCTTTTTTGTTTGTTTGTATGTTTTTGGCTCCTGTTCCTCTCTCCTCTCTCCCATATCCATCTTAGCTACACACTTAAGAATCTCCCCACTACATCCTGCCTACCTACACCATGCGCTTAACATCACACCACCAAGCAGCACAGGCAAGGCCTACTGGAACCTCACCTGCACTGATTACCCACCCGCCCTGGTGGCTGTAGTAAGTGCCACAAACAAGCCGTCCCACTAACTCCTCTTCAACTAGACCTGCCCTGCCATACCATATCTGAGTGACTGACCCTGCCAACTGGAGAAAGA